CAGCTTTTATAATCCTAATGGTGGCCAATTAACCATTTCAACTTTGTTGATATATTCAAATTATTTCATTACCCTCACTGACGCAGCCCCAAACAGTTTCTTTAGAAACTATCAGCCTTTATTCATTTAATTCCAATTGGTTTGAATTAATGATTTCTAAATCTGTAAACTCAGCAAATGTGTGAACTACATTCTAATAACTGTCATTGTTACCATTATTGATGGTGACTAAAACAGCTACTTACATCTGGTTCCTTATGAATCTTTAGTTCCTCTAACATATTTTTCCCTGTTAAAAGCAAATTGATACAAGAGGGAAATAAATGTCACAGTAGTGGTTATTGGGAGATTCATTTATCAAATATCATTTCAACGAAACATAACTACAGTAACTGTAAAAGAATTAAAAAAACAAAAGTTAAATATGCCTCTCTACTTGAAAATTTATATTTGAAAAAATCCCTTTTCAACTATTCAAAATAACCTGGAAAAAATATTCTTAAAAAACTTACAACATGGTATTCTTTTTATCTGCCTTTCTATCCATTTAAACTAACTGTTTAATTAATAAGTGGTCTTAAAATGGTACTATTATCATGATAATGTTTCTACTATAATGATAATGGTAACTAATATGTTATTGTTAGTAGTACCTTCTATAATGAGGGCAAAACATTACATTGGAAAATCATTCAGAGTATCAAAAATATAATTATTTTAAAAATGGCTGTTAACAGAAAAAGAAGACAACAACATTTACACCACTCTTAAGGCTTCTGGCCATGTAATTTGGTTACATAATAGTTTGCAGTATATCCTGTGTAGATACATTGCTATGGAAACAGATTCATGGTCAAACAATTCTATTTGACTGTATACTTTTAAAAGTCAGCTGCACAACTACCCTGCAAAGGATTGATTTCCAGATTACCAAAGTAAAGCAAAGAAATGGATAGAATATTCTTTTCAATTCAAAAGGCCAAACTCTTTTGATTTCTAATGAAAATGATTGGGGAAAAATCATGCTCGATACAAAATACAGTTACCGGTAATTAAACAATCTTAATCTGTTAATTAAGTCACTCAGCAAAATATATTAAGCTCTCTGATAAACAATTTTAATTAATATAACAATTATAACAATTTTAGCCTCATGATAGACAGTGTGCTCCAATAAGTATTTGCTCCAAAAAGTAAATTTTTTCAATGTAAAGCATAAAATTACATAGTGCCACTGAACCACAAGCTTATTCAAATACATTTGGGGGATCATTCAATTTTCTAATTGTAAAAAAAATCCCAAGCCATTACCCTAAACACAAAAAAAATTACCCTTTAGATCCACAGCAAAAGATTTGTCAGTAACATATAATTATAGACATGTATTGGCAATCACCCACATGTAAATTGCTTTCTTTCTAGAAACAAAAAGTGTATGTAACTTTTTTTCAACCTTGATTTCTCAGACACAAAGTTACAGTCACACGTCTTGTTGTAGTTCTATACTTCAAGCTTAAATCCAATTGCAATAGAACCATTTACAATGAAAGTAACATGATACTTAAAGATTTTGTGTACATGCATATTTAACAGTGGCAGCTTGTATTAGGTAAAATTGTTAATGTTTCTATTTTGACTTAGATCTCCATTTACTCAAAATGATAAAATCCAATCTGGTGTGCAGTTCTGTTATCACATTAAAGGTTTACATATCATTTTCAGTTGCTAAGCCTAAAAGGCTTATTGCTGGTAAACTTGCATTAAAAAAAAGTTGAATAAAAAGCGAGTGAAACTGACTTGCTCCAGGAGAAGCTGTGATTCCAAAAATTTTTTAAAACTCACAACATCTAGTCATTACCCCAGCCTGATCATGTTGGTTTAACAATTTGCTGTTACCCATTTCATTATAGCTGTTTTGATTAACATCAACTAAAGGTAAAGCTGAATGGGAATTTAAACACTATGACTCCAGAAAGGGGCTTAACAATTACCCCAGGCTTTTCTCCCAAATCAGACAAGAAAATGTTAATAAAAAGATCAATTTTTCAGTAAGGACCAATTAGTATCTATGACAAAAAGCTTCAAGAAAAAATATGTTTAGTGTGGAAGAAGCTATCATATCCTGTAGAAAACACTAAAACTTGATAAATACAGCCATTTAACAAAAGGTAATTGGGAGCTGAATTTAAATGTTTTGAATTATCCTCACAACATTTTTCAACAATATAATTTATCTGTTCGTAGTAATATCTATGAAGGTGACGTAGATAAATTTTCTTGCTTAAAAATCCAAATATAAAAAAATTATTTACTCCATGTTCCATTTTGATTAAAACCTTTCAGAAATTACAAAAATTTAACTGTAATGTGATATAGGGCATTTCAAACATATCAGTCAGGTAAACTGATATTTTCCTGCTCCTATTTATATGAACATGTACATGTGTTAGGGAAAAAATGGTAACGACATTTCTATTTCTATTTTTGTGTCCACTTTTCATATTTTTCGTGATAGAAACACAGACATATATGAATAATCTCTCAAAGAAAAAATGTTTGTGTGGCAATGAAAGCATTCTATTTTAGGAAAAAGTTACAGGAATGTTTTTCTTCCTATTTTACGGTAATTTTACCTTACTCTCCAAGGCAGTTTTAATAAAACATAAATAGAACAAAGGGACTTTTTGTTGATTTATTCTAAGCGTGTCTTTGTGACATGTGATCCCTGGTACAGGTAGTACTAGCTTCTACCATGATCATGTATAACTTATAGTCAATTTGTTGACGAAAATGTTTAAAAATATATACCAAAGACGTTCAATAAAGATATACATGTTCGTTATAAATACCTTTGACTGGCTCTGATTCCAGTGAAGAATCTGTTAAAGGAAAAAAGGAAAAAAAAAATAAGAGATAAAGAAACAAGTAAGAACAAAATTAAAGTTGAATTTACTTAGCACTTTCTTTCAGCTTTCATCTTCGTCACTTGTAGCGACGGCTATTTCATCCTGTATCGGACTATTTTGGTCTTTTCAGTGTGTAATGGGAAGGAAAACAAGGTCAATCAAGGAACACACAAGAAATGATTTTCTTGCAAAAAAAAAAAAAAAACAGGAGGAATGCCTCTTATGTTAGGACAATGACTTTCGTTATCACGAGAGGACAAGAAATATCACCTCTATTTAAGAAAACTTGTCTACACAACCAGACAGCTGAATGGAAAAATTCGAACCCCCACAGAAGGAAACCAAACATTTTGCCAACATTAAAAACAGAAATTTGTGAGCTATAACCCGCGTTTCACTGTTTCAAAGTAGCCTCGATCAAAGAAGTTTGTGTACTTTACCTAACAATTAAATCGAAAACACAAGGATTATAGCCTTGCCATAATTACCGTCTTTAGAAGGGCTCGTTTTGTGTTCACCATTCATCTGGGAAGAATTGACTCGTACATACTGTTTCAGTCCTTGTATCGGCAGTTGAATGACCTGATGGCAGTGGCCATTACAATTCTCATCCTCTTTGTTGCTCGCCTTCCTTTCTCGAAGTTTCTTTTGTAGTTTTTCTCGTTGTTTATCAACCCTTTCGTCTACCTTACGGACATCGGCATTCGTGTTTGAAGATTGTTCGTTCCCATCGTTGCAGTTGCAATGGAGACAATGATTCATGTGTTGCAATTCTTGCAAGTTCGAGGCAGAGTCGGAGTCTAGCTCGTGATAAACGCCATCTTCTGACCGGAAAACTACAGCATGATCTGTGTCTGGGTCGACGAGGCGAACAATCTTCGGCAGCACTTGGTCCTTCTCTGAAAAATTCAAACAAATGACTGTACCGGACGAAGTGCGAAGTTCGATCTTGCTTCCTCCAGTTACTTCTTGAGGAGACATTTTCTTTAGCTCTGCCGACATCACCACATAGGATATATATTTCTGGCCTTTAGCCCTGTACTCAGAGGCAACCTTTTTAAAATAAAACTACTTTGTCTTTACAAGATGTAACTTCGGAAGCCGAGTGAAAATATGAAAAACACCTTTCAGAGAGTCGACGTGTCGGCGCGTCTAACGGATTTGAGATTCTTCATAACATTACGAGCGCGGTCTGTAATGTCAAGTGAACAAGTGTCAACAGTTCTATAAGACAAGGAACAAGAAAAATTCCAGTTTTAGCGTCGAGTTTTCGGCAACAGCTGCTTCACACTACTAACTTCCACGTAGTCTTTTTTTTGTTTTCCTCACACTTAGCAGCCGCTGACCATCGTAATTCCGCGGGGGAGGCGTAGGAAGTAATTGACCGGAACCAAACGCTGTGTCGTGAACCTATTTCACTTTACTCCAGTGATTTCCATTTCTAAATTTAATTTTTCCTGTGCGACGATTTCCTTTCAAATTTTTCGACAGTTAAGTAACTTCTTGAAAATTTTTTGGAATTCATCCGGGATAAAACCATAGTACGATCGATTTCTTAATGACTTTTTGTTACTTTAATTACGAAATACCCTTTCCATGCTTTGTTTATTTTGTGTATTCAGGGCGCTTTATTTAATTTATTCGTAGTCTCGAAGCTTGTCGCGAATTTTCCTTGTGTTAACAAAGTGTGAACTGATGAAAAATGATATTGCTGCAACGCCACTTGTTCTCTTTTCCATTTCCTGTTACCATCAAAATACTGGTATTTTGGGAAAATTAATAATCGTTGACAGATGTCTTGATGAAAGTTTCAGAGGAATCGAAATCATCGTCTAGAATAAAAATATATTTACATTTCTAATTTCAACCAGATTTCTTCTTTAGTCCTTCCTTCATTATTCCTTTCAATAGGAAGCTGAGTATGTATGTAGTTCAATCTAAGTTCAAGGCACCTTAAAATGTTTTCATTTTAACTTAATTTTACATGTACATGTTCAACTTTTTCTTCCGCACTTGTGGCAGTATTATCAAGTGCGATACCATACAGAGCTTTCCGTTACTGAAAAAAGTATTTGACTTAAAAGTAACCGAATAAAAGAAAAAAGGGAAGTTTCGCTTCAAAATTTAGTTCACTCTCAAATGTGATAACCATCTCATTTTGAGATATTAACAACCATCCCTTACGCCTTGCCTTGCAGCACTAAGCTTTCGCAAGACAAAATGTCTCTTAAAAATGCCACCTGGATGATTAATTGGCCATTGGTGTTGACCTTGATCTTTCCTAATTTGTTCTTGAGCCACTGGTGCTCGTCTCCCAAGAAACCAAATGCAAATAGCAGTACACTAAATTGAATCAATGTTTCATGTTTTAACATTAAAGTAACTCTGTGTATGTGTATTAATCAATTAACAAACTAACTGCAAAATGAGCAAGGGGTCCAGATCGTGTTGTCATACCATATGTTGTACATCCTTGAACTTAAGACTAGTAAATAGGCCATTTTCAACCTATCAAAATTCTTATATGGCTTCAAGGCTTGGGGGAATAATACAAAATAAATTTAAAATTCAACCGTAAACCTCTAAGTGATTTCTTTTGTTTTATTTCCCCAAGCCTCAAGCCAAGCTTGAATTTTTATCTATCGAAAATGTCCTATTAATGCATGAAGATCAATTAGGAACTATAGTTTCTATACAGAATTTCAGTAACCTTTGGAGCAGGGAAGGGGGGGTGCTCCTCTGAGATTCTGGAACCCAAGCATACTCTATAAATAGTGTAATGAGCTTTGCAAACCTTTTTGGTAGTTCGAATGAGTTTTCTCACATTTTGGGGAGGAAACTAAATTGAATGTGTTTCAGTTCTTGATGTTTGCTAAGAACCAAAGACCTTGTTGACCTGCAAGAGTTTATCCATGATACTCATTTTATACATAAGTAATAATAATAATAATAATAATAATAATAATAATGATATTTATATAGCACCTATCCAATGATAGATCAAGGTGCTTAAAAAAGTGAGAGGAAATATGAAATTAAAGTTAATCAAGTAAATAAACTTAAAATTGAAGTAAAAACTTATAAATTCTATTTCCTAATGGCTAAAGCAGAAGTTCTCGAAGAGGTAGGTTATAAGTTTATGCTTAAAAAGACTTAAATTCTCGCATGGGTGTATGTTGTTGGGTAATTTATTCCAGAGTTCAGGGGCTGAAATGGAGAACGCTCTAGAATCATAGGTCTTAGGGTTAAAACTAACAGGATTCAGATTGAGCGTAGAGGATGAACGACGCAATCTAGAAGGTGAGTCAGCGAGTGATAAAGTCTTGAATATAGATTGGGGCTTGCTGATGCAGTGCTTTGAAAGTAAGTAGTAGAATCTTGAATTTAATTCATTCAGAGACAGGTAGCCAGTGAAGATAGAGGAGGATGGGAGTGATGTGATCGCACTTCCTAGACCGTGTAATCCTTCTGGCAGCTGCATTCTGCACTGATTGAAGCTTTTTGGTGATGTATTTAGGAACATTATATAGTAGAGAATTGCAGTGATCGAGATTGGAAGTTATGAAAGCATGGATAAGAATCTCAGTAGTTTGCATTGATAAGTATTTCCTAATATGTGAAACAGTACAAAGATGATAAAAGGCAGATTTGCAGACAATGTTTACATGGGGAAGCATTGACATAGTGGTGTCAAAGATAGTGCCAATGTTTCTAGCATGTGAAGAGAGCTTGACAATGTTGGTTCCAAAGTGAAGAGGCAGTTGGGATTGCTGTGGATTATACTTTGAGAATAAAATAATAGAGAACCTCAGTTTTTTCTTTGCTCAGTTTTAGTTTGTTGATGGACATCCACTTATCAATGTCGGACAGGCAATCCTCAATCTTAGTAATACAGTGGGTTAGTTCCATATTGTTGTTTGTAGAGAAAGAAATATACAATTGAGTGTCATCAGTGTAAAAATGAAATTGCATTTCATGGAATCGTAGAATGTCAGCCAGTGGTGTTGTGTAGAGTACGTACAGAATCAGTCCAAGGACAGAGCCCTGCGGTACATCGCACTTAAGTTCGCGAGACTGCGATCTACATCCTTTGATTAACGCGAATTGTGAGCGATTTGTAAGGTAGGAGTGAAGCCATTCCAGAGCTGTGCCAGAGATAGACTATTTAGATTGCAATCTTGTAAAGAGAATATCATGATCTACTGTGTCAAAGGCAGCAGAAAGGTCTAATAGTAGAAGCATGACACAGTTGTGTTTATCAATAGCAACCAGAAGGTCATTATGAACACACACGAGATATTTGAGATTACCTTAAGGTTTGAAATAGGTCTGTAGTTAGCAAGAACTTCATGATCTAAGTTGGCTTTCTTAAGTAAAGGAGATAGAACAGCAGCTTTAAGAGAAGATGGAAAAAGAGCGGTCTCCAGCGACAAGTTGACAATCTTCACAACAATTGGTAGGAGTAAATCGAAGTGCTGCTTCAGTATGGTGGCAGGAAGCGGATCCAAGATACAGGATTTCGTGATGATTTTATTAGCAATGTTTGGCAATTCAGTGATGGATGTTGGTGCAAAATTTGTGAGCTGACAAGACAGTGATGAAGTGTCGAGGGATTTGAAGAAATCAGGAATTTCCACGTGCACTAAGATTACTTCTGATATTGACAATTTTCTTCTCGAAAAAGTGGACAAAGTTATGGGCGAGATCAACTCCAGAAGAGCTGGTGGGGAAGGGTTTATCTGCTTTCCTGTGAAGAAGGCAAGTAATTGTCTGAAACAGGGTTTTGCTGCCACTTTCAGCTGAGTATATGAGGCTAGTATAATAATCCAGTTTTGATTTGAAGATGGTATTCTTTACAACACTGTGTTGGTCAGTATAAGATTGATAGTCGGAAGGGAGTTGGGGACGGCGCCATCGCCTTTCAAGCCTACAACAGATCACCTTCTGCTTCTTGATTTCCTCACTGTACCAAGAGGCACGAGGCCTAACAGTGATGATATGTATGGTTGTTACATCCTCTTTGAATGGAATCTGATATGAAAGTGCAGCAGTGAATCTTCTACTATTGACTTTAACGTTAAAGACACTATTTAACTAATCAGGTAAACTAACAAATGAATTGTCTTCATGCAAGAAAAGTTCAGGTGTTCTTGAATGTTGCGTTCTGTACTTCAAACCAACGACCAAGTTTGGCAATAACCTTCTCGCAGCTGGATTTAACTCAAACATTGTAAACTGTCCTTGACCCAATTCGAAAAAGTCAGAGTTTGTTAACTTTTCATATTCACTAACAATTTCCTTAACTTTGGTCACCAATAATCCATTGTCCATTCCTGTACTCAAAGAGGAATCATCATAACATGGGATTGAGGACACAGCTGACTCTGCCAATCCCCCAGATTTGTCCTTGTTGAGGAGGTTCCTTTCTTCTTCTCCTTGTGCTGATTTTTCACAAAAAAATTCTATGTCTTTGCGATCAGTCACATCCAACTTACTAATTTTCAAATCATTGTTTCCAAAGTTGTCCAGTGTTTCCATGTCACTTGGTAAAGAATCATCTGCTTTTGGATAATGTACATTTTTGTCTGAATGACAGTCTGCAAAATCTTGACTTTCATTGCTATTGTTTTCATGACTTTCTTGATCAAAATACCACTGAAGTAAATCATCACTGTAGCCTGTTAATGTAGTGAGGACAATAGAATGAGGAGAACCCATGAACACCTCATATGCACTTTTACTGTACCTGTGGAAATAAAAATTAGATTGACAATAAGCAACTCTTGCCTTGGTGTTAAGTAAGTAAGTATATTTATCCGTGTTGAACACTAAAGAACTTACAACAAAGCTCGTAAGAACATGCACGTGCTAAAATTAATACTCCCACCCATCCCACCCCAGGGGAGGACATCCATCACACAGTAATCTCGTGCATGGGAAATTAACATCTCCTACCCCTAACCCTGCAGGAGATGGGACTTCCATTTATTCGTCCCCATCCGAGAAGACTAGTCTAAGAATAATCTAACCATTTCTTGATGTTATAGAAAGGTAGCATATTCTTCTCAATTATTTTAAGACCTTGAGTGTTGGTCCGGCTAGGGCTCGAACCCTCAACCTCCTGCACAACAGTCCAGTGCTCTATCCATTGAGCTAACTGGGAGGCGGTGGTCAATATGATATCAAGTTTGGGTAGAAGATGAATTGAATCTGTGGTTTGCAAACTGGACTCAGCAATGAAAGTCAAGTGTTAATAGTCCTTCTCGAGGCCCTTTTGTAATGTTCTTGAGCAAGACTCTTCACTTTCACAGTGCCTCTCTCCACCCAGCAAAAGTGGGTGCTTGTGAACCTTCTGGGAGGGGGGGGGACTGCTTCCATAGGACTAAACTGCTGAGTAACATGAAACCTTTACCTGTTTTAATACAATCAAACCTCCCTTTGCAACCACCTCTTGTGAGTGACCACATCCCATTGGTGACCATGCATGCATTTTCCAAAATACCAAAAGTTTCTAAGTCAAATCACTAGAAATTGAGCCTCTCCTGAGCAACCACCCCTCATAAGCTACCACTTTTAGAGATGCTTGTCTACGAATTGTTTTTAATCTTCTGGGAAACCACACAACAGACAACTGGCTTTATTTCTCAAAAGCAAAAACTGAAATTTTTTCAACAGATGTTGTAAAAATAGAGCCACCAGAAGTGTTTCCATGATAGACTCCTTCATAATGACAATAAGACTGTGTTTATTATTATTATTATTATTATTATTATTATTACTATTATTATTATTATTATAATTATTGGAACACGCCAGCAACTTAACAAATTGCAGGCTATGAATATTAAAGTAGGTGGTTCAGAGATAAAATCTATAGCCACCAAGTTAAGAACCTTGGAAGCTGGCTTGATTCAAACCTGAATATGCACCACCATATTACTAATAAAAGTATGTAAGGCAGGTTTTTTCTACTTGCATAATATTAGATGCATTAAGAAGTATTTATCAAGAGACAGCTTACTCACTCTGGTACATGCATTCATCACGAGTAGGTTAGATTACTGTAATGCTTTATTGTGTGGCCTTCCCAAAGAACAAATAGCTAAGTGGCAAAATGCTGCCGCCAGACTAATTATGGACATCGGGAAGTATTCTCACATTACTCCAGCACTCTATGAGTTACACTCGTTACCAGTGCCAATGCGTGTATATTTTAAGATCCTATTATTAATTTTAAAACCATTAATGGCCTTGCACACGTATATATTAGCAATCTTTTAGTTATCAAACACATGTCCTTGTACAATCTTAGATCCAACTCGAGTATTTTATTAGAGCCACCAAGAGGTAAAATGCTGGCAACCCTGGGTAAATGTGCAATTCAGACAGCTGCACCGCATCTATGGAATGAGCTACCATTGCAATTATGCAATATTCAATCTGTAAAAATTTTTAAGAATTGAATTAAGACTTTTCTTTTCTTTTGTGGAGGCGCGGTGGCCTCATGCTTAGTGTGCTTGACTCCGGATCGAGTGGTCCGTGTTCAAGCCCCGGCCGGGACATTGCGTTGTGTTCTTAGGCAAGATACTTTACTCTCACAATGCCTCTCTTCACCCAGGTGTATAAATGGGTACCGGCAATTTAATGCTGGGGGTAACCCTGCGATGGAGTGGCATCCCATCCAGGGGGGAGTAGAAATACTCGTAGTCACTTCATGCTACAGAAACCGGAGTTAAGCACCAGCCTAATGGGCCACTAGGCTCGTAAACAGACTTTACCTTTTCAATAGTGGTTGAGTTATGAATTTTAGCCAATTTAACTGTAATATGTAATTTTTTTTTAATTAATTGAGATTTTAATATTAATTAGAGCTATTAATTGTAAAGCGATATTCATCTGTCATTGGAAATAGTGCTCTATAAGAAATATATTATTATTATTATTATTATCATTTCCAAAAATAGCTTTACCGCATAAATTTTTGCTTGTGTTCTGTTTCCAGTAAATTTGGACAGCACCACTTGGAATAACAAACAAGCCAATTTTCTTTCACATGAATTGTCCCAAACATACACTGTATTAAATGATTTATGAGGAACAAAATAATCACCATAGGTCCTTAGATTTTTTTTTCCTTGTATAAACCGGCAAAATTTATTATTGTAGGTTTCAATAAGCGTTGGTAAAAGGGTCCCATCACCATACAGGGCTCGACACTACCTTTTCAACTTACTAGCCAAGCGGCTAGTGACATCTTAGATGTTTTTAGATGTTACAACAATTTCAGTCTGTTTACTAGCCAAACTGGCTAGTGGAAATTGAAAACAACAGCCAAAACTGAATTTCTACTAGTCTGTGGCTAGCTAGTGGGCCACCATTAGTGTCTGATAGTGTCCTGACCATATGCAAATTACTCGAAATATGGAATTACCATGGCCTACACACTGGTGAGCAACCAACTCCCATAAGCAATCACCCAGACTTGACATTTGGGGTGGTCACTTACAGGAGGTTTGACTGCATTTTTGTCCTTGAAGATGGAGGATAACTAACAAAGGGGTCATACCTGACAAGGTTCAGTTGTACAGTTACAAGGGGTTTAAGAGGGATTTTCCTGTATGGGGGTCCTACTCCAATATTGAACCAACATTTAGGGTCTTCCAGGTTGCTTTTGAATCAAAACTGGTGGAAAACTTTGAAATTTTTCCCACGAGAAAGAGAAAGATCATTTGAACCATTGGACTCCATCTCCCCTCTCATACACTTGCACACATTATCACTTGCTATACGAACTTGTGCCATTGATGAAACTCAAACTACAGCTGTAGCTTAGCTCCTTTAGACCCCAAAAAAGGCACTAGCTGGAGAACCTTCAAGGGCACCATAACCAGCCACTGTTAAAGAAATGTTTCAAAACTATTCCACCAAGAAGGCAAAAGGAACATACCCCAGATAGTCTAGCATCCTCCGGCTAACAAAATATTTCATACTTACCCACTCTCCGAAACGATGAGACCCAGCGTTCCTTCCACTTCATGACTCAACGTACCCTCCAATTCACGCACATGCTTTGGACCTAAGCGTCGCTTGTAGCGCCTACACTGCCCAATAACACGTACAGGCGACGATTTCAAAAGCCATGCCCCTCTAAAATCTATACCTCTGTCCCTGGGTCCACCGCAGTGAGTTACATCAAACGAGTACTTCTTCAAACTTTGAGCGACAACTTGCTCAAAATATCGGCCGAAATCTTGTCTTGTAATCGATGAACGGAATCTGGTGAAGATGCACTGAGGGGAGATAGAGATCCGGTGTATTCTCGGATAAAATATGAAGAATCCAGTCAGCTTCAACATGTTGTAGCTTCTCCCGCGAAAGTATCAGGAGAGAGGAGGAGATTGGGAACGAATTCAGCAAAATTTATCGTTTTCAGATTCCACGCGATAACCAAAAAAAGAAGTACGGGTGGAAGCACAACCCAAAAATTAATATAGGTTTAAAAAATGAAATAACCACAGAACTCTTTGCAGAGTTAGCTTTTTAAGATACGCTGTATGGGCTGAGTCTTTTCTTTCCTTTTTGATTTGATTCAGTATAATTGAAGGAAAACCTCGTATTGAAACCTGAATTCTATGCATGTGGAATATTGCGATGATCTGTTCTCGATGATACGAAGTGTTCTTGAAAACATGTTTCTTTACAGAACATTGGAAAGTTTCAGCCATGATTAGTGAAATCTTTCATCAGCTGGACGAATTTTGCGTTGAATGAATTTCGCCTGCACCGACAACGCTGATTGGCTCTATCACAAAAGCTTTTGTTCTTTCGAGCCCAACACAAACATTTCTGAAGTAGACACAAAGACTCTCAGGAATATCAATCCAGTGAGATGTTATATTTATGGTGCCGATTCCTGCCGTTTTAAACAAACTCAAGTCGATGTGAAGGGAGGATGAATTTCTCTGGACAACTTCTAACTACATTCACCTTTGTAAACCTTGTTCTTACGGCTTCATCCTCTCTCAATTTCTACATAAATCATACGGAATCAAAGAGGATTCTCGGTGGGTAGCTGCGGTGGTCGAGCGATCGATTACAACGAAACTCTAAGAGTCATTCAATTCTTGGAGAATCCAACCGAAAACTCTCTGTTGTTATTGTCTTGAGCAGGTATTGAGGGTGATATTTACTACATACGAAATGGCGAGGTCAAATCCAATGCAGTCAACTTCAATATGACCGTCCCTTCGCGAGTAGACTGCTTGCGTTTTATATGGTACTCTACTCGATCACCTTCAAATGCTGTGGTAAGTTTTTAATTTGCACCATTGTTTTGGAATTGTTTGTGAAGAGACAGATCTGTACGAAGTTTTCCGAAGTCTCAAAAACTAGCCATGCGAAGCGTGCTGATTTTTGCGATTATTTATGCTGCAGTTGACACACTCTTTCGCACGACCACATTGTGTAAATTTGTTTTTATTTCTTCTACGTCCTTTTTTGCATGGCTTGAAGGCCCATCGAACCTCTTGAGTGTAGGTTCTGAGTTTTATCGTGTACTGATCGAAACAATTCTGCTTATTACCTTTTTTCTGGTTCTATATCTAGCCGCTAGTAAGTGTTTTGATTTCTGTTACGCTGCATGCCCTAGTATTACCTTTGCCCTTTGTATACAAATTGTGATCACAATTAATTTCTCTTTCAGGGGTACGACTACGTTTTAAAATTATCGTCGTTAACTCCTGATATTCTGATAAAGCCTACAGTGAATATAAAAAAGGCTGGAGTCATTCCAGAAACTAAGAAAGGTTAGTTTCGAATCGCTCAACAATCGTTCTCGCGGCAGACAAATATATCAAGTTGACGTACAGTCGACATCAAGATGTTCCATAAATGCAGAAATTTGTTCAGAAATACTTGAGGTTTTAATCGAAGGAATGCATCCAGTTCTCAGAAACGTATAATGTTTCCTTGATAAGTATTGCTTTCAGAGATAAGGCGTACGGCAAGGAACTAACTCATTACGTAGTAATAGTGAGTTATTAGTTACACAAGGGATGAAAATGTCACTTCACCCAACTGTGAACAAAAACAGCAGTTGAGAATGTTTGATCAATTTCTTCAACGACCCTCGTCACTTAAAAATGATAAGCCATGCCTTCTCCTGACTTCTTGAAATGACCACAGGTTCGGAATCTTTAATAAACTGTCATTTGGCGAAACGTGCGCCACATTATTATTTTAGTGTGATATAAGACATTTAAAAGACTTTAAGTGAGCTTATCTTTAAGCTTTTGAAATTTTCTCACTGTTATAATTCGTTGATTTTTTAGAGTGTCTCTTTAGAACGTTTCAGTTTGTTTTAAGGGGCTTATCTAAAACACAGATAGCGTAAATTTCGTGTCGGAGTTCGCGTTTGATCGCAAGTCACTTGAGTGCGACGAAGTGCCATTGTTTCAACATGTTTGTTTGCGATATTTGAAAGATAAGACCTTATGGCATCTCATACATTTCATTTTCACTTTACATTGGTTTAACACCCACGAAAACGAATGGAAACATCGGTAACTAATGAAAATTTTGCCGAGTAAAGCACACGTTTCTAAATGTTTTTGTTTTACATCTTTTGATGTCGCCATGTAGGATATTAAATTTCCCTTGTAATGAAATGCCTTGTCTTAAATAGATATTCTGCTTCAAATGGTGAAATTATTTCCTCATAATACGTGCAGCATAACTTAAAAAGCTCACAAATTTTAACCCACAGTAGATGTTCCTTATGGAAATGTTGGGGATAATATTTACGTTTGTCTCTGATGTGCCCACTTATTGGGCACTGATTGTTCCTTACAGAAATATATGCATGTGGGTTGTTGTTTAATATTTAATAACTTAAACTGAGGCAAGAAAAAGCTAGTTATTAGGTTATTAAGCAGATTCCTGTTTACTAATATGGAGAAAATTTAAATATTTTCTCTGTCTTTTGGGAACACTCTTAAGTCTCAAATTGATTATCAAGATTGAAAGTTCTATTGGTAAAGTGGTACAATCTCATGATTAAATTTCTCAAACAAGCAGCTTGTATTAATTTATGTCTGGAAGGCTGTAGTTAATTGTGTTGATCCAGTTTGTCAGCCAAGAAATGAAGCAGAGCTCTCAAGACTCATGCACGGACAGTTTCTCTTTTAGCAGAGAATTTACAATATTTTGAAAGACTCAAATTGAGGCTGCTTTTCTCACTTACATTCAAGTCAAAACCATTTTTGTCAAGAATGTTTGTTTTACTTATGGCCTGGGCTGAAGTTGTTAGATCAGCAGTTTGGCCTTCAAGAGACCTTTCAGCTTGGCAATGAATTTACGTGGTAAGGTGAAATTTCTTACCGGTGAATCATTCTTTCCTTCTTTGCAGAATTTTGCATTAATATGACGTGTAAAGGAACTAAAGCAGGCACAGCCCATATGATGATACAAATTGAATTCAGTATACCAACAGAAGAGAGAAAACTGGTGTTAAATCTTCGAAGGATAAAAACTTGTAGAAAAGGGATTTACCACATTTTTCTTGTACCTATATGTAGGTAGATGTTAGGGAAATTGTAACTCATCTTGATAAATCACCCGCCACTGCTTCCCCCCCATACACACACAAACACGCACTCACACACACACACACACACACACACACACACACACACACACACACACACACACACACACCCCTTAGTACACATGTGCTGGGAACATTATATTTTTTGGTAAACAGAGACAAATTATATATTCTCAATTAATGTTATTACCTAATTATTACTAATAAAATTTTCAGTCAATTGAAGTAAGACATAAGGTCAATAACTAAGTTTTGGCATTAAAATTGTGTCGTCATAAGCAACTGGCTTTATTTCCAGTAGCATGGTGTCGTTAGACTTCTTTTGGCTGGTTGTCTCATTTGACGGTTAGTAATACATGACTCTTGAGATTCGGTTACCCCTGGAAATGAGCGAGGTTGTCCATATGCCAACACTGTTATTTTACAGTCAAAACCCTGTCACCAAACTTTTTCCATGCCTCTCTCAACTGTTAATTGTAGAAAAAAATCAAAGTGAATTTCACCCATCAGCTATCTGTTAACTTTTTCTGTTTTTAAACTTTAAAAAATTGCTTTTAACATTGTTTAGTTGCTGTTTATACAAATTTGGTTATGTGAGCATATTTTTTTTACTTAATTAGTACCTAGATACTTCGTAGATTTATAAACTGTTGACATAGACTTAGAGTTAATCAAATGTAAACAAATATTTAATCTTTTTTTTCCATTTTCAGACCTCCATACTAGTGCTAGAAGGAAACCAACTGTTGTCCAAGTACCAAATGGTAATTATGTTTTAATTTTGTCATTTATTTAAAATTATATATTAATGGTAAAAAAGCAAGGAATATTATTTTGATAGATCATAAATTATTTAAGAACTGATCAAAAAATGTGTTTGATTGAGCCTATTAAATGAATATTTTCAGATCACACGGAAGCAAATCCTCCAGTATCACCATTGGATAAAACCACAGTCTTCTACATTGCAGTTGGGGTTGCCTGTAGCATTATCCTCATTATAGCCCTTGCTGTGGCTGCAATTCATGTCCATTCAATGCCACGTCCTGACAAAGATGGGTAGGTAGCATCTGAATCACACATTTAAGTTGTTTAGTGAATAACCACTCATGTTGTATTGGCAGTTCACAAAAGCTAGGAACCCTCTGAAGTAGTTTCCTCTCACAGGTTCATCTTAAGAAACTGGTAGGCAGTTGAAACCTGTCAGCTGTCAGACCATTTTACACTGGTGATCAAAGGCACCCAATAAGTATTTTTGAAGTAATTCAAACATCTATGTCTAACCTTAAAAAAAGTTACACAAATATGTTCCACAATGCTGGGAATCACATCTCAGATAGTTTCAAATATAAATTTTTTACTGGGGGAGCATCCCAGAGCCCTTTAGAAGGGTGTGCTGCAGAACAACATGCCATGCTTTGCAATGTAAGCATAATTCAATTCCACCACCTGCTCAATTCAGAACATGTATCGATCACATTAATTTTTTCTAATGACAATCCTGCTCGCCATCAGGAAACATCCAAACTGAGTGAGAATGTTATGAGAATGTTGTGAGAATGTATTTGTGCTAAAAATTTACTTGTACATGCACAGTGATACAGACATCCCAGGAAGGCAGGAGAGCGTATCTAAAACTCCTCTTATTGCTGCTGCTGGTAAACCAAAACAGGAAACAAGCAGTCCAGGTACTCAACTTGATTTACATGTTATTTTTCCTCTCGACGTCTTCAATTAAAATGAAAACTAGTATGAGAGAATTGATACATGTTGTGTTTTTAGAACCCATGGTCAACCTCTCTTAACAAATCAGCTACTGTCAGCTGTAGACTGAAATGATTTAAATAGTGTAATTTAAAGTGTCGATTTAAGGAATATCTTTTGAATAAATATAATGACGAGAAAATCCTGCATTTGGGTTCTTTCTCTTTTTCTTTCACCAGCTATAAATGGAAATCAGGGTCCTCAAAATGTGCCCATACCTGCTGTAAGTAATACCAACCAGATCCCTGTTTTGACAGCAAATAATGTAACTGCAAGCGTACCCTTGGTGACAAATCTTATTCCAAATGGCGGTGTACATGTGCCCCATATAAGGCCCAGACTTCCAGGTGGGTTCCCTGTGAGGGACAGCACAATCAGCATCACCCCCAGTGATGGGAATTATGGTGGAGGGGGGCTGCAATCCACACAGAAGGGGAAATATGGAAACAGAGACATGAAAGCTGAATTAAAAGACCTGGAAGTGGATATGGATAGGATTACCTTGGGGGATTTGCTAGAAGAAGGTGGGTAATACTTGTCTATCAGGCTTTCAGAGGAAAGCACTTTTCTTGGAAAGAGAGAAAAATATCATTAGAAAATGAATGTTTGTGAGGATCAACAGTCCCTTTTCCCTCGTTTTCTCAGTAACCCACTTAACCCCTCGTACTCTAACTTCAATATGCATATTCTCCATACCATTCTTCATACATTTTCCAAAGGGCTGACAAGGAGAATTTGTTTAACAATCAAGAGCTTCTTTAGTTGGGGATCATTTCCTTTATCCTCGTGACCTTAATGTGTGATTCAGGGGTGATATTGTAAGGAGAAATTAGATGCTGGTCACTCGTACACTGATCATTTCCTCTATTCTCATGACTTAATGTGTGATTCAGGGGTGATATTGTAAGGAGAAATTAGATGCTGGTCACTCTTAGGGGTTACAGGGTTAACAAATAGATTTTCCATGTTGCTGTGCATTCATTCACTTATGGATCACAGATGACTTCAAAATTTGGTACGAACTAATGTTCCTACCAAATTTTGACATCTTCTCAGATCAATTACTGTACAGGTCTATGGCAAGATGGAATTGTTTGTTTTATGAAATAAAAAAAGCAAAAAAATTCTTGATGGTGACGTCATCTATGCATCTGCCATCCAATAGATTAGGGCCATAGCTAGCATGAGGCAAGACGAGGTAATTTCCTCATCTTGATTTTGGCCTTTTTTCTTTCCAAGATTGACTTTTTTTGAAGAAAAATGCCATGGAAAATGCTTAAAAGAGCATTTCTGAGCCTCTAGATTTCAAAATTTTCTGGGGGGGGGGCATGCCCCCAGACCCCCTCTAGCAGCTCGAAACTCTCCTCGTCTTGTTCTGAAGTCTAGCTACAGCCCTGTAGATTATAAGTGTGAACCAATCAGAATGTCTGTTTAATTCAGATAATTATCTGATCTTATTTTCATCATAGGGACATTTGCTCGTATCTATAATGGCGTTTTAACTGGGCCTAGGGAAGCACAACAGCAAAGCGTTCTGGTGAAAACTGTATCTGGAATGGCATCGGAAGACCAAGTTAACCTCTTACTCATAGAAAGCTCAATGCTGAAGGACCTCACTCATAAAAATCTTCTTCCTGTTATGGCAGTGTGCCTTGAGGATGAAAGACAGCCCTTGATAATGTTTCCATTCATGAACAGAGGGAACCTTAAAATGTTTATTAAGAAATCCAGATCTCCTGAAGGCGGCTCGAAGGTACGTTCTGCTACACTTGTACTTCTTAGTCACACTAGCGTAACGCCATGAGAAATGGGTGAGGTATCGTTGTTGTTACGACATTAACCTTATTCCTGGTTGGCCATAGATCTGTATAACAAAAGGTTCTACTTTAGATTACTCTGTAATAAGTCATGTTCGGAAATCTAGCCCTCTCGCAATCATAATGCGCAAACATGACCCAGTAATCTACAATCTTTATTGAACCTCAAAGATTCCTCAATGGATAGTTCAATTTAGCTCAATGGATAGAGCGCTGGACTGTAGTGCGGGAGGTCGAGGGTTCGAGCCCCGGCCGGACCAACACTCAAGGTCTTAAAATAATTGAGAAGAATTTGCTACCTTTCTATAACATCAAGAAATGGTTAGATATTCTAGTCTTCTCGGATAAGGACGAATAAATGGAGGTCCCGTCTCCTGCAGGGTTAGGGGTAGGAGACGTTAATTTCCCACACACGAGATTACTGTGTGATGGATGTCCTCCCCTGGGGTGGGATGGGTGGGTTAGGACAGCAGGTCCACATCAGCTATTACAGCTGCCAAATTAATCAACCCGCTAAAACAAATAAATGAACTTCAACTACATCTGATCGTTAATTCTCCCATCTAGCTGCTGCACATTTGCTTGCAAATTAGTTTCGTGAATTTTGTGTTTAATCAAGATGACAACTTCTACCTGATAAGTTTGCGTATTCTCATTACCTGTTTGCTGGATTACGTAAAGATATGGGAGAAATTACTTTGTAATGGCTTCTGGGAGTTTAAGGGCTATTGCCAAACTATGAAATATATATTTTTTTGTGTATCGAATATCGTTGCATACGGTTCAGGGTAAATCAAAATTCATGCTCTTTCCAGTCAGTTGACAAATGTAAATTCGTTGAAAACACGACCCAAACATTCTTTTGATTGATGAAATAAGTTTATCTCTTCTTTTTTAGTCTCTGACAACCGCAGACCTTGTTCACGTCGGCATACAAATTGCCAAAGGACTCCAATACTTAGCAAGGCGACGAATTACTCACAAGGATGTAGCTGCCAGAAACTGTGTGTAAGTAGAACATTTGCTTACTTAGGAGGGTAACATTCGCGAGAGTGGGGGGGAGAGGGGAAATTCCTTGTAATGAGCTAGTGAGGATGTGCCGCTAATTGGGGTCGCATTTTCACGACCAGATTCTCTATAATGGGTTGCATCTTCAACAGAGTTACTAGAATGGGGTCGCACATTTATGGGGGGGTGAGGGGGTACTTCCTAGATTGATGGCATGTGCCGCTAGATGGGGTCGCGTTTACAATACAGTTAATAGAATGGGGTCGCACATTCTTGGAATTTTTGGGAGTGAGAAAATTACTGTACATAGGGATTAGAAGATGGGAGTCTTTTTGAATAAATGGGATGGACACTTTGTAGAAACGTTGTCATTTCGTTGAGTAAAGTCAAGGCGTTATTCCGTTTTTTTTTTTTTGCTTTGTTTTGTTTTTTTTTTTTTACTCCAGTATTGATGACGATCTGAATGTGAAAGTCACTGACTGTGCGTTATCAAGAGACCTATTCCCACAAGATTACTGTTGCCTTGGAGATAACGAGAACAGACCAGTCAAGTGGATGGCAGTGGAGAGCCTTGAAAAGGGACGATTTACAGTTGCAAGTGACGTGGTAAGCTTAAGCTTGAATGTACGCTCGATGCTGTGACATAGTTTCTCCCCTCTGATACTCTTAGATGTACCTTTTTGTTATTGTAAAGCGATACGGCAATGATTAGCCTACGTGTAGCTCTACCCTTCCCCTGAGGAGAAACGGAAGGGGGAGGGTACGGCTACACATAGACTAGGCAACGATTTCACCTTTTAGCTCGCGCAATTGTTATCAGTCTTATAAGGATAATTTTAAAAGAATCAAACGCAAACAAAATCAGAAAATCGGAGATGCGAGGGGACATAAATGTAGAAAGTGAAAGTTACTGTGTCGATGAGAAGACAGGATGGAGTTTATCGTTTAACTCAGTTTGTTTTAAGAGACAACATGGGACTTTTAATTTTTTTAAAGGCACTTTTAGCCTAAGAAGGAAACATGTCTTTTTTCTCTCCCTCTCCTTCTCTCCATATCTCCTCGTCCTTTCAAAGTGGGCGTATGGTGTCCTTCTGTGGGAATTGATGACTCTGGGACAGCAGCCCTACGGGAATATCGACGCTTTCGAAATGCTCAACTTCCTCAAACAAGGACACAGAATTTCGCAGCCGATGAATTGCCCGGATGAACTTTTTACAATCATTGCATGTTGCTGGGCTTTGTCAGAAGATGAAAGGCCGAGTTTTGGGCAGCTAATCGTGTGCTTGACAGACTTCTTGAATGCTTTGAGTAATTTTATTTAAAAGTTTTAAAAAGTGTAAGATAAAATGTTTTCGGGCAAGAATAGATGACATCCTGTCAAAAAATGTCGAGGCAAGGTACAAACTATAGGATCACCACAGGCAGCTCAACCGCTGTAGACGATTAAATCTGCGCTATATTGATTTTGCACAACAGAAGTGAAAAAAAAAAAAGGATTTACCCGGGGAAAATCGATGCATTTAGAAACCTAAAAATAGTAGGAATTGAATTTAAGGTCGTTTCAATCGTGCGTTTCCTTTTCGCCATATGGGTTTGAAGCGGTCATTTGGTCCACCGCCCCTATATATATAAATTCATAGCGATGAAGACGCTTTCAGATCTTCCTCTTTTTCTTTAATGTACCTGTATGGATAGGAAAAAAAGGATGAAGCTAAAACCGCCTAAATTTCTCTTATTCAAAGCCATTAAGGAGAAAAAGAATCACACGACTGAAGCAAGATAAGCTATTTTTGGGTCATGCAAACACTTTTCCCTCATTAAAACCCTGCTACTTAATAACATTACAATACAGACGGACACATACGTCGAACCATGGCCACCAAAGGTGACCGTGGTTTTTGAGAGTCGATGAAGAACGTTCGTCAAAAATCATGAATTAATCTGACAATTCCAGTACACTGAATGCCCTACCAACCTCGAGAATTCCTGGTATTCTCATTTATGGAGAAAGCTACATCTTGGCGATTGCATTGAAGACGAATTCACCTAGGAACTTGAACAATTTATTGGTAACAGTTTATTTGTCGAGTAAGGCAATCCAAACTGATCTCTATCAAGAAAAAAGTTTGACTGCGAGGAAAGGTGTCATCAGGAGACGAAGCTCCGTTTACGTTTCGTTACTGTTTGTAGGTTTAGTAGATGTTTGAGTGAAGACATTGGCAGAAAAATAGATATTCCATTGAGCGTGCGCAAAATTTCAGAGGACTTAATTTTCCAATTTAGTTTAGAAGGGTGTGCGAGTCCATTTGCACAAAGCTAATATATTTTTGTTATGTGTACAGTATATTTGTCCTTTGGAGAAATGTTCTTCAGGACTCAGTTGTTCAAAAGGTGGATAACGCTATCCGCCTGAAAGCACAGTACGTTTTGTTAACACTTATCCGCAGGATAGCAATTTATCCTTTGGAAAGCGTCATCCGCCCTTAACACAACTGGACGCGGAAGCTTAGATTATTTTATTTTCAATTAAACCACCGCAAAGTGTTTTATTGGCCTTGGTTGTTGTGTTGTTTGATTCTTTCTGGGCATCGATTCTTTCACTTTAACCATAACCGACATCAACCAGAGAGAGAGAGAG